TCCTTGATATGTGCTTATCAAAACATGAGTTTAATACACACTCAAATCATCAAGGAAAACTCACAAAAAACTCCAAAAGAAAACCTCAGAAGAAACCCTAAGACCCTTAAAGAAGATCTAGGAAAAGTAATCCTAGAGTTGGACAAACAAGCGAATTTATAGAAGTAGAGATCATGCGGTCCACTCAAGCGTGGGAATGGACGCTCGAGCGGGGACTCTATATCGCGTGTTCCAAACCAGGGTTCACGCTCGAGCGGAAGATCTCACGCTTGAGCGTACGAACACATCACCCAGTATTTTTACAGACACACAAAATACTGTAAGAGTGAAAACTCCGCTCTAGCGTCACTTTGTCCGCTCGAGCAGGAAGACAAATATAGGAAAGTTACAACTCGATTACAAACTTAGTTTTTCCATTGACTTTGACAACAAGGGTCCTAATAACCATTTTTCATTATCTCATTTTAGCAGACAATTGGACAAGTATCCTTCTAATAAATGATGTGGAGCAATATTCCATGACCAACCAATAACTTCTACTACATAAGAGTAACATTGATAGTGTTTGATAAAGCTAAAATGTAAAAGCTGAAAACTTAAAATTAAGTATTGAAAATTGAATGTTTAGTTTTTTATGTTAAAAACATGTTTGATAAAAATCTAAGTGTTAAACTTAAAATAAGTTGTTTGATGTGTATAAAATCAAATTTAAAATTTATTATTTTTAAACTATATATTTCAATTTTTATATTGTGATGGTGGTGGTGATTGTATGATGATAGTGATAGTGGTAGTGGCGATAATCATGCTAGTGGTAGTAAAATGATGGCGATATTTGTAACAACAATGACAACGGTGATTATCGTGGCAGCAGTGGCATGGTGGTGGTAGCAGCAGAAATGGTGGTGGTGGTAGTGGTAGTAAGTTTATAATAATGTAATTCTTATGTTTAGTATTTATAAATTCAGTTAGAATTAAGTAAGTTTTATACGACTTATTTTTTTTAAAAAAAAATTAACTTACATTTTATGAGATACTTAAATTTTTAAGTAATATCAATTATAATTATCAAACATGCTTAATTAATTATCACTTACGCCTCTTTTGACAACTAAGTTAAAAGTCAACTCATTAATTTTTTAATTTTTTTAGATCATATCACCTTTCTACTTTTTTTACACATTTTTTTAAAAAAAAGTCAAAAAACTAACTTTTTAACATACTTTTCAAAATAAACTCTTTCAATTTTAAGTATTAAGCATTCGTTTGGGATGTGAGTTGACTTTTTTAGCTTTTTAACTTTTTAGCTATTTTAACTTGAAACTAAAAAGTCTCGTTTGAGATTGATTTTTTGACTTTTTTGACTTTTATGAGAGAAAAAATAAATGATTATGATTTGAATGTGACAATTTGTCTTATTGTCATTTTAGCCTATTTTATTTTTTTATAACTAAAATAACCAAAATAGCTTATGTCAAACATAGCCTAAATCAGGTTATCAAATACGTCTTCTAAGGAGTGTTTTGGGAAGATGGTTTAAAGTTAGTTTTTTGATTTTTTTGAAAAAACGTGTAACAAATGTGAGAGATGATGTGACTCAAAGGAGTCAAGCTTGTCTCATGTTTGAGATCAAGACTGGACTATCTAGTCTAGCGCATGGGCTCATTTTTTTGGTCCCGTTTGGGTAATTTGAACCGTTTAATATATAGAACTCGTCGACTACTATATCTCTGTAAAAAAATCACGTTGATCGGATATCAATAGCTATTTGATTGGATCAAATTTGTATAAAAAAAATAGAAGATGAAAAAATAAACAGTTGATAGAAATTTGATCCAATCAAATAGTTATTAATATCCGATTAACGTGATTTTTTACAAGGATATAGTACTCGATGAGTTCGACACATTGAATGATTCAAATTATCCAAACAGGATCCAAAAATGGGTCCATGGGCCGGATTGGACAGTTCAATCTTGATCTCAAATATGAGACAAGCTAGACTCGACCTAAAATAGATTAAAAGTTAAGAAGTGACTTTTAATCCACTCCAATAAAAAGCGTAAGTTGGGTGAAGGCAGGGGAATATTTGACCAGATTCTCCAAATGTCCAGACAAGTCTTTGACCTACCAGTCTGCATCGCGTATAACTCTCAAAACACCTAACCTAGGGATGGCAATTTGAAACCGGCCCGACGAGGATCCCCGATCCCGACCTCGATTTAAGCGGTTTTTCCCCGAAAAATACCCCCGACGGGGAGGTGACGGTATTTGAAAATCAATCCCCGATCTGTCATGGGCTGGGGACGGTGATCAGTGTTTGATCCCCGGCCCCGCCCCCGTCCCCGACCCGATCCCTGAATTTCCCCGAAGTGAAATTACTTTTATACCCCTTATATTTATATATATATATATAATAATAATAAACCAAACTGTATATATTATATTTATTATAAACCAAACCAATGCATTAGATTTATTATTTATATATCACTCCTGTTATGTTGCTCTCACACTCACTCTGTAACTAAGATATATCCTCTCTCTCTCACTCTCATCTCAACTCTCTCCCACTCTCTCATTCATCTCGCTGTCAACTCTCTCTCTCGCGGTCACCGACGGCGACGTCAGCACCACCGCTGGCCCCGACTCTCCCTCTCTCTCAAAGACGGCGACATCACCACCACCGCCGCACAATGTCTGTCTCTCTGCCACCACCACCGAACCCACAACCACCGCCAGCCACTCTCGATCTCGATCTCTGTCACCACCACTGAACCCACCGACGGCGTCGCTCAGATCTGTTTGTGTTAGATCTGTCTCTGTGTGTGTGTGTGTGTGTGTGATCTGATCTGTGTATGGGGATAACAATATATGTGTGTGTGATCTGATCTGTGTGTGTGAGTGATCTGATATGTGATTAATTTTTTTATTTTTTTTAAAGTTTAAATCTATATTTGTTGATGATGATAAAACATAGTATTTTTTTTTTAAGTTCAAATCTATTTCAGACCATTAATAATTTTGTTTCAGATCTGTTTTTAGATGATGTTGTTGTTGAGTTGTGTGTGAGGCATCTGAAATTTTTGTTACCTCTGAAATTTTTAGATGATAATTTTGTTTCAGATCTGTGTGTGTGAGGCATCTGAAATTTTTATTTATTTATTTTTTTTTGAAAGGGTGGTTATATGATTTGATTAGATTGTTTTCTTTCAAAATTTTCAGTTGCGAGAAAACGGTTCTTCCACCAGCTTTGGATTCTACTTCCGAACCACCTCCCATCTTCGATGGAACTATCAGGTATAATTGCTCCTCTCTCTAATCTTTCTATATATATAATTTTGTGCATATATATAATACACTAGTTGTTGCTAAATTTATCGACACACGATGTGTGTGCTATAAAATCAACAACCGTAGCAATTGAGAGGTTTTTTTAGGGGGGGAAAAAATACTGAAGCAATTTTGTACGGCATAATTGCTCGTGTGGGCATTTTCTTAGAAGTATAAATTAAAAATATTTATTTCATAAATTTCAGATATTAATTTTTTTAATTTATTTATTTCTAATAAATTTTAAATAAAAAATAAACCAAGCTTTCAAAATATATATATTAAAAATAATAAAATTAACTGGTAATAACCCAAATAAACTTCATCAAATAGGCCTGACTAACCCATGCAATTGTCGGTTGCGCTTCTAAGAACGTAAATTCAAAATTCAAACCACTAAAACAATTCAGTATATTTGATTTTAGTTTTCTGAATTTAGTTTTTTAGAAATAAGTTTTTTACTTTTTATGTTTTTTTTGTTTTTAAGGAATATTTTTAAAATATTAAGTAATTTTTACTTTTTTAGATGTATTTCACTTATATATATCTAAATAGTAAAATATTTGTGAAAACATATTTTAAAAATTAATAAATACACAAAAATACGAAAAATATATTGAATTTTCATAATTTTTTTTTATATTTTTGGTATTTAGTGAATTTTTTAAAGATTTTTTCACAAATATTATATTTTTTGTTTTTAAGGAATATTTTTAAAATATTAAGTAATTTTTACTTTTTTAGATGTACTTTACTTATATATATCTAAATAGTAAAATATTTGTAAAAACATATTTTAAAAATTAATAAATACACAAAAAAATAAAAAATATATTGAATTTTCATAATTTTTTTTATATTTTTGGTATTTAGTGAATTTTTAAAGATTTTTTCACAAATATTATACTTTTTAAGTATATTTATATTATGTGTGTCTAAAAATTTAAAAAATAAATACTTAAAATATTAAAAAAATTCATTGAAAACAAAAACAAAATACAGAAAATAAAAAAACAAATTTTTTTGAAAAGTATTTTGTAGAAACCAAAACCAAACAAGCTAATTGTAACTTTTTATTATAATTTAATTTACTAATCGAAATTAAAAAAAAGGAAACAGAAAAGTGTGTAATAAAGCAGAGTAAATGCATAGAAAGGACTAGGTCTCTATCCTAATTAGATTAGACGGGACTAGATTGGATTGTCGAACTTTCATAGCCCACCACGAGAGTTCTAATCGATAATTCAAATTATACAGTGTATAGAATTTATTAAGTATTTTATTCTCGTAAAAAATTATATTAATTAAACATCGATAATTACTTGATTAGTTTATATTTTTATTAATGATAAATATAGTTTAAAAAAATTATTAATAGAAATATAAACTGATGAAATGAATATTGATATTTAATTAATATAATTTTTTTTAAAAATGCAATTGTCGACAAATCCTACACGGTTCAAATTATTGAGACACGTCCAAAATAGATCCTAAATGGGTCAGATCGGATAGTCCAATTGGACTGTCTAAACAATTATTTAATTACCGTATACAAAACTGTAGTCAGTAGCCCCAATGCTAACATGCGCACCTCGTGCTCTTCACTCTATAACCCCCTCCCCCTCCCCCTCCTAAACAATTATTTAATTCCCAATTTCTACCACTTTGCCACCTCTCTCTCACCAAAACATCTCTCTCTCTCTCTCTCAAAGTGGGGGTAAAAGACACGAAGACGAATTTGACAGACGGACGGACAGACAAAGCCAAAAAAAAAAGCATGACTGTAGCAGCAGAAGTAGCCGCCGTGGGTGGGACTATGATCGTGGGTTCGACCGGCTTCATCGGGCGGTTCGTGGCGGAGGCCTGCCTTGACTCCGGCCGCCCCACCTTTCTTCTCGTACGGTCCTTCCACCACTCCGCCACCCTCTCCTCCCTCCGACACAAAGGCGCCTTACTCATTCCCGTACATTCCCCTCTCTCTCTCTCATTATATATCGACAATACTACGTAACTCAAATTTTGTGGCTTAAAAGTAGCTCAAATGGCCAAAATGACGTCGTTTTGAGTACAGAACAACATAAAAATGACTAAAACGACGTCGTTTTGACCATTTGAGCCACTTTTAAGCCACAAAATTTGAGTTACGAGACATTTTCCATTATATATATATATATATATATATTAACGGTGGGTGTAAATGTGATAGTTTGTAATTACAATTAATTTTTTAAATGACTTGATTATTAATTGTTTTTTTATCATACAATTTAGGATATTTGAAGTTGATAAGTTAGATTATTATGAAAGATCACAGTCTCTCCGACCTTTTTGTTACTTGGTTCATGGACGGACCACTATATCAACTGATCTATCTTGATTATTAAGAAAAATTAATTAACAATTTTTAGTTGTTTGATAAATAAATAAATAAATCATTCAAGAGTTATTGAGTAAGAAAGGCATTCTTAAAATAGAAAAAATATTATGTTGTTTACTCAAATATCACAATTATTGAGTAAGAAAGACATTCTTAAAATGGAAAAAATATGATCATATTTACACTAACGGTCATATTTTTTTCTACTTTTCTTAAATACCCATTACTTGTAAATTCTTACATTATATTCAAATCAAATTAAGATCAAAATTTATAATTTTTCACGATTTTAACAGCGCATATATCCTACTAATAATAGTATAGATAGATAGAATAGGTATATGTACAACCAATTAGGAGTATCTTTTCTTTTTTCTTTTTTCTTTTTTCTTTTTTCTTTTTTTTTAAATTGTCTTTCACTTTAAATAACTATTGCATTTTAATAACTGTTAAAGTGATTTTCTATTTTTTTTCATTTGCCTATTCAAAAATTTAAATATATAACAAAAAATAAATAAATTGCATTTATACAAACAACTAAACTAATATATATATGTATAAGCAGAGTTTAGGGGGCATCAATTTTGTGATGATGGTCGTGATGTGTTTAATTATGTTATGTGTAGGGATCAATCAACGACCAGGATTTGATGGAGAAGGTTTTGAGGGACCATAAGATTGAGGTTGTAATCTCAGCCGTTGGTGGAGAAAGCATCTTGGACCAGCTAGTACTCATCCACGCCATTAAATCTGTTGGCACTGTTAAGGTACACAACAAACAATTTAAATATGACATTTGCATTTATTTGCAATAAAATTTGTTAATATGTATAATGAAAAGTCATATACAATATTATGAAATTTAAAAATATTATACAAATTATTAAAATTTATATTAAAAAAATGAAAAAAGATTGAGGTCTCGAATTTGAGGTCTCCAATGTGGCTCGAATTGTGTTTTTTTTTTTTTTTGAGACTGTATTTGTTTAGTTATTTTTATTATTTATTTGTTAGGTTGTGTTAGTTTGGTTGGTTTTATTTATTTATTTATTTGTTGGGCTGTTGTTATTTTATTTTTATCTTCTTGATTTGAAATAAAAATATAGTAGATACTCGTACAAAATTATATAAAATTAACAAATTTTAACTTGCAGTCTAACTGGTCAGTCAATTTTATCACTCAATCAATCCAACTCAACTCACTCACCTTATCAAACCACATAGGCTAAGTTGTTGTTATTTTTTTGTTATTTTTTTTTTTTTGGGCTGTGATGGTTTTTTTTTAATTTTCTTTTATTTTATTTGTTAGGCTGTGTTAGTTTTATTTTATTTTATTTTTTCTATTAGGGGTTAGGTTTTAAGGTACACATAACCACCCTTCTTAAAAAAATGTTAAAAAAAGAAGAAAAAAAAAAATTCTAATTCGAGGCAAATTCGCGCCTCACTTTTCAAGGCCTTTAGCACGGCTTCTAAAAAAAATTGATAACATATGAAGTATGGTGGAGTTGGAAATTTAATATATAAAATGAGTCGTGGAAATAATATAATAAAAATATGTCAAATTAAATATTGAACTATAGAATAAAACTTGACAGATGGGTACAAAAAGAAAAAAGAAAAGTTAGAACCTTCCACTTTTTAATAAAATGTGATAATTATTAAGCCAATTGGTTAACAAAATAAGAAAATTCAAGTTTCTTGTATTTATATATCTATACTATTACATTAGAGCATCTCCAATGCACTAGGCATATCATACTTGTTAGTTAAAATGCCTAGTGTGATTCACTTTTTTCAATTCCAACGCACTAGGCATATGATTAGGCATTTTGGCTCAACTCATATTCACTAGCTACATGTAGCTAGCCTTCAACGCTAGGCAAAATGTATTCAATCATTAGGATTATTTCCCTCCATCTTTGTTGTTGACGTGGCATTCTATAAAATTAATAGTATTTGGATTAATAGCTAAAATAAAGAGCATGGTTGGAGTAAAAACATAAAACAGTTGATAGGCAAAATAAAATATATACTTTATAGTAATATTTAGTTAGGTAAAATGCCTACTACCGTTGGAGATGCTCTTATGGAATCTTTTGGGAAGAAGTTAAAAAAGTCTAGTTCTTTGGTTTTTAATTTTTTTACAAAAAAAATCATAAAAAGTCAATTTTTTAGACAAAAAAATTATCAAAAAAATTAAAAAGTGAAAAAATTAACCTTTTGTCAACTTCTCAAAACACTCGTGAATAATTATATAAAATGAAAGCTGGACTAGCTTTTGTGTTCAAGCTTTTGCTTGTTGAAACCAAAACTGTCGACTTAAAAGAATGCTTTTACCACTGAGACTTCACACATATTATAATATTATATATTATAATATTAAAAAAAATTTATAAATATATTATAATATTAATTTTTTTATTTTATTTTTATTTATTTAAATTTCGCATGCATCGCAAGTGCCGGTGGCTGGGTAGGGTCGTCACCCATAGGTAGTGTTTAGTAAAATTTTAGAATTATAATTTGAGAATAAATAAGTTTATGAGTTTTGAAATTATGATTTGAAAATAGAAAATTTATTTGATTATAAATTTTGAAATGAGTTTTGAATTTTTGATGGGATATATGAAATAAGAAAAGTTGTTTGGTTATGAGTTTTGAAATTTTTTTTAAATTTAATTCAAAAATTTATAACTCATAATCAAACGCACAACTCAAAACTCTATTGAAAATTCTATTCAAAACTTATAACTAAACTTTTTTTAAAATTCAATTCAAAAAAATAATTTGTCATTTTGATCAAAAAAAATAATTTGTATATTTAAAAAATATTAAAAACAAATATAATTTTTTTTCTAAATAACAGATGGCAATTGACAATTGTAAAAAAAAAAAAAAGTATACTGTTTCAGTCAACCTGCCGGACATGATGTCCGGGCAAACTACCAAAAATTTAAAAATTATCTAATTTACCAAATATATTTTCAAAATATATTTTAAAATTGATTTGAAAACATAATTTAAAAACTCAAAGTATATATAGCATTCAAATATAAGGGGGAAAACCTGATTCGAAACTTACACCGAACAAAGGCTTTCCATGATGTCCATCTCACTTTATTTTTGGGATTTGATGATTGAAAAGTCAGGGTAAAGAATAATCTTATCTGGTTTTGATTGATTTTTTAAAAATTAAATTTTTTATTTTTTTGCATATAATTTAAATGTACTTAAAAAATAAAATATTTATAAAAAATATTTTTAAATTTTAATAAATACACAAAAATATAAAAATGTATTAAATTTTTGTATTTTTTTTCATATTTTTTGCAATTGATGAATTTTTTAAATATTTTTTCATAAATATTATACTTTTTAAGTATATATTTAGGTTAGGTATATCTAAAAAAAAATCTCAAAATATTAAAAAAATTTACTACAAATAAAAATATACAAAAAATATGGTTGGTAAACCCGGGATAACCGGTTGCCAATTAAAAATTAACCCTCACCAAGTGAGGGACCCACCACCATTTAAATCGACACACATGCTTACAATGCGGTATAGAGTGTGAGTTGGCCTTGTCGATGCCAACCTCTAGGAATAATTACTTTTTCTGATAACATATAGAGAAAGGTCCCGTTTGGTAGAGTTGTGGGAAAGTGATTATAGTTTATACCTTATAACTGTGAATATAAGCTAATTTTTGACTTATAAATTAAGCTTCTCCTCCTCCACTTAAAGAATAAGTTGATTTTTTACTTACAAAAAGTTATAAGTTGTATTATTAAGCTGAATCAAACACATTAAAATAACTTAAATTAAGCTAAAAACTGAAATAAGCTGAAAATAAGCCCTACTAAACAGGGCCAAAGAAAATAGTATTAAAAAATGTGACACTACTATGGTCTCTTTTCATTACTTGGTTTTTAATCACTTTTTTTTAATTTATAACAAAAGTTAAAAGTTAGTTTTTTTTATATTTAAAGATAATTAGGAAGTTAGTTTTCAGTCACTAATAAAATTATAATTCTACTTTTCATGGGTCAAAATATATTACATAAGTGAAATTGTAATTATTTTAAATTAAATTAAGGTAGTTTGATCATTTTATTGTGATTTGACATCATAAACAAATATTAATCAAAAAATTCAAAAGTAAATTTTTACTAATTTTTCAAATTACTTGTCTAAAAAAACTAAAAACTTAGTTAAAACTCAAAAAGTCTTTTTTTTATCATCTTTCTAAAACACCCCTATATTAAGTGCTCGTTTGGCAATGACTTTTTTAATTGACTTTTTGACTTTTTTAATTTTTTTAGCCTGAGACTTTTTTGTTTGTTTGGTTTTTTTTGTTTGACTTTGTTGATTTTTTAGCTTTTGTTTTGGGCAAATTTTTTTTATCCTTTTGTGATTTTTGACTTTTTAATTTTTTAAATTTTTTTTATACTTTTGTGATTTTTTAGCCTAATCCAAAAACCAAATGACGCTAAGCACAAATAAGGTCACCACTTATAAAGGGAACACTTTATGGGGCAATTGTAAAGAGTTCAAAAGATATCACAAGATTTGAATCTGCAATGGAGTGTGCACAACTTATGAATCTTTTTCCATGTTACTTGGTTCTGATTGCACTAAAATAAGGTTGTCATAAAAATATTAATTATTATCAATTTTTATTTTTTAAATTTATTCTAAAAATGAGATGTATAATATAAATTTAAAATTAATGTGATGTGAGTCATATAAAAAATAATTATAATCTATAAATATATATATTTCTAGATATATAAAATTGTTGTTTTTCAAACTAGTCTAGTCATTCATGATGTGATAATTTATTATTCTTTAAGTTAAGAAATTTATTTATTGAAGTTGTTCATCTACAATACAAAAAAGCAAAACCCATAATGCTAAAACCTTGAACTTTTTCTGATTTATATATTTTTAAAATTTAAAAATCTCATGGAAGAGAAGAAATGGAATCCATAAAAAGGATCCCAAAAACAAAAAAAAATAGAGTGAAAAATCAAAATACTGTGAAACACACCTTCATTGTTTGTTGTTTGATTAATATTCCTTCTTGATTTCAATTTTTTGGGTTTTATTTATTTTTTTATTTTTTTGGTTCATTGCACTAGTTTGTTAGAGGAATGTTAATGGTCTTCATCAATGGTTCATTGCACTAGTTTATTTTTTTTCTTTTATGTTGATGAAGACCATTACCAACTTTCGATGCTTAAAAAGAGTCATAAAATGGAATGTAGCCTGGCCCTTCTTTGTTGACTTCTTTAATGTTTTTGAGTTGTCTTCACCTCTTCCCCCAGGCAAAAAAGAAAAAACAAAAACAAAAAACTAATCAAATGTCATATCAAATTATTAAAACTTGCCTGTAGTAATTTATAGAAAAAATAATATTATATGCATCAATTAGTATATTAATTAATATATTAATCGATGATGTAGCATAATTTAAAAGATTTTTGATATTTGTAATGTGATTAATAAGTAAGGTCAATAATAATGTAATAACTATCGTTGGTATATTAGTTAATACATTAATTAATACATATAGTATTAGCGTTACAGAAATTAATTTGAGAAACCGTGTATTTATTATGTTTTCATATCACGTTTTATATATCGCACTTTTGAGGGTTCCTTCAAGTCTAAAATTTGTTTTTGGAGGATATTTTTTGGATTTTTGGGGCCATTAATGATCTGAATTTAATTTTCGTAGGTTCTCATGTTACATTCATCATGAAAAATTCAAATTAATTTGACAATAATAGTAAGATTATTTAATTATGTTTGTCTTAAAAAAATTACAAGCGATATAATTTTTAAACTAGATCATTTATTTTTTTTAAGGTTGATATATATTTTGTCTCCTTATGTTTGGTTATTTCTCATTTTGATTCTTTAAATTTTTTTTCACTTTGGCCCTTCACATCTTAAGTTTTTTTATAATTTATTTCAAAAATTAACTTATGTTCAAAATTAGATAAAAAATTACACATTGACAATCACTTGGTATAAAAATATTTTATTACATGTAACTCATAAATCTTATGCAAACTCAAATCTCAACGTAATAATATATATTTTTTGTCGTGTGGCACCAAGGTGACATTTTTTTATCTAATTTTGAACAAAAAATAGCTTTAAGAATAAATTCGGAAAAAAACCTTGAAATATGAAAGGATAAAATGAAAAAAAAAATTGAAAAAATGACCAAACATAAAAATATAATTTATCATTTTTTAAAGACAAACATGGTGAATATATAGTCACTATTTACCAAATTAGTTTTTTTAAATAAATTTATAAATAAAAAGGTAATAAAATAAAAGATCAAATCATCAAAATGAGACTTCAATTTAATCCATTATGTGAACTATATTTATTTGGTGAAATTTTTTTTATGGTAGACTAATTAATTCCTTCCATATGTATATTTATGTACAAACACACATCATTAATATATGTATGTATGTGTGATGTGTATGTGTATGTGTATATGTATGTGTATGTATGGACAGAGGTTTTTGCCGTCTGAATTTGGGCATGACATAGATAGAGCTGATCCAGTGGAGCCGGGACTAGCAATGTACAAAGAAAAGCGAATGGTGAGGAGGGCAATTGAAGAGGCTGGGATCCCCTACACCTACATTTGCTGTAACTCCATCGCAGCCTGGCCCTACCATGACAACACACACCCTGCCGATGTCATCCCACCGTTGGATCGTTTTCATATCTACGGTGATGGCTCAGTCAAAGGTACAACCTACTTCTTCCTTTGTCTTTATGAAACTCTCACACACACACACACACACACAAAATAAGTAGTTGCTTGGTTTTGGCCTATCTATTCCCTTTTTTTTCTTTTCTTTTTTCTTTTTTTTTTCCCTTAAAAAACAAATTTACACATTTTTACTTTTCAGGTTTCATTTGAATGTTTAATTTGGGTCATTTATTTTCTAATTATTTGTAAAAATTAAGTTTTCAAATTTTAACCATTGTTTCCACGTACTTCTCCCGTCACTCACGGTTAAAATTAGACTGAAAGCGTTTATGTGATAGCCACATTATTACATTTTAAGGACATTAAAGTACAAAAAAAAAATTTACATTTTTACCATTCAACTTTGACTCAAATTTTACTTTAATTATCAAATTTAATGGTGTTAATATATTTATATTAGGTTGTTTGGAATGATCTAAATAAATATACTTTTTAATTTTTTATGAAAAGTTATACAAAAAAATAGAGAGGTGATATGACCCAAATAAATGTACTTATTTAGTTTATGCCAAATAGTAACCATTATTAGATGGGAGATGAGTGTAGTTATATCAAAATTATAAGACAAATTTCAAGAATATCAAAGTAATTTATCCTTTTTTTTTATGTGTGCTTAATGTGAATCTAATTAAATGAGATAATATAGCTTTATTTGACTTGAAATTTGACTTTTGACAACAAAAAAAAAAAAAAAAAAAAAAAAGCAACAACGACAACAATAATAACAATAATAAGTAGGTAAAAATAAAATAAAAATTGCCACCTAACCCATGTAATAGATGTCACCCAATAAGTTAGGTATTCAATTTTGTAGCAAAAGGTCAAATCATGACACCTCATATAACTAACGATGACCTCATCAAACTTGTCACTAGTCACAACATTAACAAAAATCATTACAATTTAGTCATAAAAAAGAATTGCCATTATTATCATTGTTGCCGTACTTTTCACCAACATATTATTTGTTGTAATGGGGCGGTGATGGATAGGTGTTGTTTCTATTACAATACAAATGATTTATCACATTTTTATCATATTGCACATTTTTTATAAAAAATCAAAAAATATATTTATTTAAATCTTTTCAAATTTGAAATGATTGTTTCATTTTCGCAGCTTACTTTGTGGCGGGAAATGATATTGGAAAATTCACAATAAAATCGATAGACGATGATCGGACAGTCAACAAATCAGTTCATTTCCAACCAAAATGCAATCTACTAAACATGAATGAGCTTGCATCTTTGTGGGAGAAAAAGCTTGGGCACACACTCCCTAGAGTAACCATCACTGAAGATGACTTACTTGCCGCTGCTGAAAGTATGTATTTCATCTTTTTTGTACAAGTTTAGTGTAGTTTTTCTCAAACTAAAAGTTAAGTGGAAAGCAAAAACTAAAATTACACCTCCTCCAACTTTCTGACTATTAGTTTCTTCTTTTTTTTTAAATTTATTTAAGTTATTTCTGACTCATACAAGTTATGACATGACATATTTGCAAAATGACAAGTTATAAGCAGTTCTAATTAAACAAAAATGGAATGATTTGATGCATATGCATTCTCCTCTTGCAGAGATGTGCATCCCAGAAAGCATTGTTGCATCGTTCACCCACGACATCTTCATCAAGGGTTGCCAGATAAACTATGCCCTCGACAAACCTACCGATGTGGAAGTCATGTCCCTCTATCCAGATGCATCATTTCGAACCATTGATGAGTGCTTTGATGACTTCCTAGCAAAGATTAGTGTTGCTTCAGTGGTAGTTGACAAAAGGGCAAGTGGAGACGCAATTTTTTCACCAAATGCTCCAACGGTGGTTGACAAGGTTACAACTAAAGACACCATCTTTTCACCGGTGGCGGTTGACAAAAGGGCAAATGAAGACACCAATTTTTCACCAAATGCTCCGATTGTGGTTGATAAGGCGGCAGCTGAAGACACCATCTTTTCACCAAATAATGGAACAGAAGCATTGGCTATCACCACTACTTGTTCATGATCTATCATGAAAAATTAACCATCCTATACTTGCAGCTAGTGAATTATTATTCTTTGTTAGAAGGGTTTATCGGTGAAACGAATTAATACTACTAGGGTTCTATAATTTTTGTCTAATCATCAATGTGTGTACTATTGAGATGTTGAGAACAGTTGAAGGTTGTATTCAATGAAAGGTACTTGGTTTGAAGGATTGATGATCCTACATTGTTTCCATTACTTGTCACATATGCATTATACATTTTGCATGACATTTGTAGTTTGTCTTAAAATAGAATTCTTTTTCTTGGCCTGTTTAAACCCCTACCGTCTGGCAACCAAAATGTGGTAGGACTTATACCACTCCACTCCCTTGGGCTAAACAACAGTCCCTTTTTTAAAAATAATCCTTCAAATCTTATCTAATTTTTCAGCATACTCCAACAAAAACATACAATAATCACATGGTATATATAAATCCATCCAACATTTCATGGTATATAAAAAGAGAAAAAGAAAAAAATTGGGTCCCACAATATTACGTATACAAGAATAAAGATTGGCAATACTTACAACAATAGGATATTAGAAAACATGGGGCAACAATGGAAACTAATATAACAAAGATGACCACACTAGCTTAATTTTGGTAAAAAGCTCCTTCAAAACTTGCTTGAAACAAACAGCAAAATCGTTTTGTTTATCAATTGGCTACTTTCATTTCATGAACTTGTGAATTCGATAATAACATTCTTTTTCATTAATGATAGCAGAAATAATTGTACAAATATTGGAAATGGGGAGATCTACAACAAGTCCAAATCATAGTTTCTACCTCAAAGAAAAGTGAAATATATTGACAAAGGTGTAAAAAAAAAAAAAAAAAACTACTGTATTTTGATTATCAAAGCAATGCTCACTGTTGCAAAAAATTTCAACAAGAACATTTCTCTATAATTTTTTATTTTTTATTTTTTTGAACGTTTGGGTACTATACATCATATACAGGTAAGTGTTTCTCAACAGAGACACGGCAAATTGGGCATTTCTTACACTTCTCACTGCAAGTGCTGCACCAAATTAGATGATAATGAATAACTGTACACTAAAAATAGGGGGCAAATCTAAATGAAATGAAAATCGAAAATCAAAATGGCTGAGATTTTGCTAACACATACCTGCAAAGGATGCGATGCCTACAGGGAAGTAGGACTACACTGATCTCTCGTTCAAAGCAAACCCTGCATAAAACTTTTTCCTGGCAAGTCCATCGAGAGAATGTTGTGTTAATGTGGAAAAAACTTTATAACAAAACCTACTTTAACTCAAAGAGAACTTCAGAGAAACTTCAATTGACTACCATGGTTCAAATCAATGGACAGAGTGAACAAAATACCTACACGCAATGTGGGCCTCAATTAACTCACTTCGCTTCGCTTTTTTCTAGAGTTACTACTCTCTAGCTTGCCAAAACACTACCTAGCTTAGATCTACTCTCATTTGTGGGATAAGGTATGAAGCTTTAAGTTGGGTCTTGAGATGTTACCATGTTAAAGCATGTATTAGCCACTAGAATCGTTGTATTATTTGTCTATTATCACTACACCAACAAATATTGTCTTATATTTGCTTTATCCCTATAAATTACCTATTTTAGTAGCACTTCCAAGTAATTTAGATAGTGAAATTTCCTTAATAAATACATTTTTCACTTTTTTGGCCTTGAAACAAACATAAAGACCAGTATCATTCGTAAAAACACGCTTTTAGGTAACCATAATATTGATTAGAAACCATTACAAACCCTCAAATTGTGAAAAATAGGGTCAAAACATTTGGGTTAATGAGTTTTTACGTGTTGGTTAGTACTTGGAAAAAACAACATGGGTTTGGTTTCTAATTCCCATTATGTATTGGCTAACACTCCCGATACTGCTACACTACAACCACGTCCATTTACTCTGGCCAATGCCACGATTTAAAACCATGCATATGATGTTTTCTCAATCAACCATAACCACAACTAAAAATTAACTAGAGCCTACTAATAATACGAACCGTCAAGAAAGATTTGTCTCCTCAAAGCCTTAGAGTTCCAATGCACATATACTCATGCAGCAACATCTTGTTTTCCCAACTCTAGACCATGGATAACAAACTCCAGAGGGCACTAAGTTATGTTTAGACACGCACACACACTATAAACCAGCATACCTAAGACTTGAAACAGTAAAACATTGTAAAGCAGTAAAGACGCGTATTTTAATTGGTATTAAAACCCTATCAAAGGGGGGACATATTGAAGCTATAACGTTAAGAATTTTACATTTTGAAGCCTTTCATACTCCTGCTGGCTAAATTTTGTGATTTCTGTTTGCTCACCAAGAGCAGCTTGAAGTCTCCAAACCTGAAATACAAGAGAATAAAGTGAACAATAGGAAAGCAGACAATAGCATGTACAGTTAAAACTCTGGCATTGGGCAATGAGATCAGTTGGTGAGGAAAAAAAACTAAAATGAAAGCTGAGAAAACAACAACTTAATACAGATAACAAATAAATAAAGGATATATGATACCTCCTCTGCCAGATACTTCCTAGGCATTTTCTTCACTATTTCAGGAGGATAACCGCAAAAGGTGTTATAACTGCATATTTAGGTAACAAGTATGCAAATATCAGCCATTTAGTTAGGATTCTTCTAAGTCCTGAAGGCAATGCAGCAGATAGTGATGTTAAATTTCATGCTGTGTAATTAAAATTTTCATGAAAGTGACAACTCATTTTCAAGAAATGATAACATGTAGTCAAAGGTATATAAATCAATCATACATTTTTAGTTCCAAGTGAATCATCTGATACTAGTGCAATTATGTACATTCCTTTCTATACTCTCAAAGTCTGAAATGGCACGTAGCAGGTAATAAAATATAGCAACACAAATGGGAAAATACACGTGTCAGTATTACATGATCAACCGGCTAATGTGTTCTCCATGAAGAAAAAACTAAAGAACTATGAAGGACAAAAACATGACACATATACGAGTCATATGACATAATATGGACACACCAACACTGCAATTTCATAGGTCTTCTGCTTTCAGGGGATAGATTGGTTCATACGACATCCCAACACAACTTCATTAGATCAGCCTCTTTGTACGGAACCTTCACCATTTCTTATCTCTATGCTTATTTGCATATTTTCCTTGAAAGATTCAAAAAATTGAACCCTAATGTCTGGATCAGTTTTTGTAGAGCCAAATTAACCCTTTTTATTAAATTTTATCAAAGCAGGTTTTATTCCATGAATTCTTCATATTTCTAGCAAAGAATCATAACACATATCACATATTTTGATTTTTTTTAGCCATTCACCTGCAAATTCACTTTAAATTTTTTGTTTAAAATGGATTAATTTCGTTTAGTGTTTTTCCTTCACTAATATGAATATGGCCACACATACCATATAAGATCACAAATGCACAAAGGAATGGAATGCAACTCACGGACTTCTAAAACATTTAAGATAAAAACAATACTTACCCAGAGGTCCCACCTTGGAAAAGTCGAGTTCGTTCTTCTCGACTCCCACCATCAATTGACCACCAACCAAGCAGCCTGCTTGTGAGAGAGTCAAAAAGCAGTGAGAATTACTTTGCTATTCCAATGCCACACTTTAATGCTAACATCGACACAGAAAGTGAACAACCTTCGCACTCTAAATTTGCTTTCTGATGAAATGTTTTGACCATTACCTAGAGCCATGATGCAAGTACCCAAAGCACTCCCGTACTTTTGAAGACAACATAAAATATCCTCCTGTGCCAACACCACTATGCAGTAAAACAACGATTTTCTCCACCAATCTAGATGCAGCAAACAGGACGCCAGCACCTTGCAACACAAAAAGAGGAGAGAAAAGAACTGGAAGTGGGATGTTTTTAACACCAGCAGGCGTCCCCTGAAATATGAAACCACTAAAAGATTTGTTCATCAGACATTCCAAATGGTTAAAAAATTTCATCCAGCCAGCAACCACACTAAACACAAAAATATATCATACCTCCAAGTACATAAAAAGAAGGACTTGGAAACCAACTAATGGAACTTTCATAATATGGCCTCCAATATCTTGCAGACCGCACATTCTATCCTGGGACTGATCCTCTGAAGAAACCACTAAACCATTGTTCCAGTCAAGATATCTTATAGCTGTAGAAGACGAGCTAGCTTCTTGTGTATGAGAGTTTCTATGAATAACTGGATTAGACCACTTTGTACAAACAAGAAACGCAAAACACTCTGCAACACTGTCAATAGATAGGAGAGAGCCTAATAATTAGCACTTCTCATGTACAAAACATTAATGCCGTGTTTGGTTGAAGGACTTGGGAAGGGATTTGGAAAAAAGAAAGGGAAAAGTTAGGTGAAATATGAATAAAATATACCTACATTTCACCTAATTTCACACACCTTTTCCTTTTTCTTTTTCTAAATCCCTTCCCAAATCCCCAACCAAACACAACATAAATAAAATCTAAAAATGAAGATAAGGTTGTAGTAAAAGCATATGAACAGTACCTAAAATTTATAAATAAATCCCACCAGCCTAGAGCATTCACATCACCTACAATGTTATTTGAAAGAAAATAGAAACCAGAGCATCATTAAGTTGGAATAGTAACATACCTACATTATGAAGCATGTACACAAACATAAATGGTATAATGACATTATGCTTGCAGAATATAGTATAAGGTGGTTGGGCAAAAGTTCGCAATTGAAATACGGAAGCTAAATATGCCACGTTTTATAAACAGGGGGTGCTTGTTATTAGAAAATAATATGAACAGATAACAGCAGCATCTCTACAAACCTTGTCTATTCTATGCATTGAATAAAGAGTAATGGGGCTGAAGCTCCATAAAATTATTATAAAACAAACATCTTCTTCCATGTCTAACAGATTTTCCCATCCTTTAAAGATATAAAAGCTTCTTGTAACAAAATGTCCATAAAGAACAAAACTATTAAGCATGCCAATAAATCAATTGCAAAGTAAGACCTAAAATAAACCAAAGAAAAAAATGGACTGGCAGAGATCATCCAAGATCACTAAAAAAATTGTCACTCTTTAGAAAATGAGAGTTTCTCCCTTATTAAACCCCATAACAAAAAAGTGAAAATTGATATCCTATGGATTATTTAATAGCTACTGTACCTAGAGTTTGATCATGCAACATACTACCCACACACTGACTTAATTGAGTCTATGAGGAAGAATTAGAATTCTAAATGACAAGAACAATTAGCACATTAACTTTATTTTATTGTGTACATATCAAGTAATTTTTTTGTATGTTAAAAACAATTGCTAAACAATAAGACAGAAAGATATTTTATGCACGTTAATACATGACAAATAACCCCCCACCCAACACAATCTTTTATACCAATGTGTCATACTCTCTCGATTAGGTCATCATAAGAAAATACTGCTAAGGTGTGCTACAACTAACATGAAAGCTGAATAATGTTAGCAAGCTAGGCTAACTTCAAAACACCAATCTAAATGGCCAAATCCGGAAATTCGGTGCTCAAAATTGCAATCCATGACTTCACTCTTAGCAATCATCGAATTATGTGCAAATTAGCACTGAATTTGTAAATCCGCAAATTGATTCACTGAGCAGTAACCCATTTCAATTGATTAGGTGACTTATTCTCTACCTTTCCAGACATGAAACTCCATATTCTAGCACAATCATCTCATGAATAGTTTGCAAATCAAAGTCCAAGACTGCTACTAAATTTTCTTTTCTCCTTATTTTCTCTAACCAAAAGTTTTTGTTTGCAAGAAACAATCCAAAGCCAAATCAAGAAAGAGGAGTTGTCTTCATGTCATCTAAAAACTGAAAATAAAATACCATTAGCGTAAAATAGTGAAAGATGGAAATGAAGTAAAAATGCACTACATTGATACTTGCACATTCCATAGTGAAGTAGAGGAAGAACACCGAAGAAGATAGAAAATTACCACACAGCTTAAGGAGGGTGAATAATGTTGCAGCGATTGAAAGGCATGTGTTTTAGAAACATCCACATTTGTGCACATGAATTTATTTATGGAAAATAATAGCAAATCTACATCAAAACTTAAACAGGACATCACATTGAAAGGCATGTGTTTTAGAAACATCCACATTTGTGCACATGAATTTATTTATGGAAAATAATAGCAAATCTACATCAAAACTTAAACAGGACATCACATTGAAAGGCATGTGTTTTAGAAACATCCACACTTGTGCACATCATATTTATTTATGGAAAATAATAGCAACAAGCAATACTCTAAAATCTTATAGTGCACACAAAATCAGCTGACAAGCAAAAAGGCCCAAGATCCACATCTTTAATTTGTAATTTAAGAGAATATAAAGCTTGGGTGATGATTATGATATCATCACCTTTTATATTAATCAATCAACTGCTATAAAAGGAGGCCCTAAGTCGCTAATTAAAGAATCACCTTTTATATTGATTGATTGATTGACTGATTAAGGAATCACAATCAATCAATTACAATATAATCTAAATAAGGAAACAAGGAAATATTCTAACACTCCCCTCAAGCTGGTGCAAACATATCTCGCATGCCCAGCTTACCTAGAATGTCATGAAATGATTTACTCCCAACTCCCTTGGTGAGGATGTCTGCAAGTTGTTCGCCTGACTTCACAAAAGGAGTACATATCATGCCACTGGTGAATTTCTCCTTGATGAAGTGGCGATCAATCTCAACATACTTTGTCCTGTCATGTTGAACAGAATTGTGAGCTATGTTGATGGCAGCCTTATTATCACAATATAGCCGCATATAGTCTGTCTGGCCCATCCCCAAATCACTCAAAAATAGTCTGATCCACAAGAGTTCACACACACCTTGTGTCATAGCTCTAAACTTAACTTTTGTACTCGATTTAGCCACCACATTCTATTACTTACTCCTCCAAGTAACAAGATTACCGCCCACAAAGGTACAATATCCTGATACAGATCTTCTATTAGTTATTAACCCTACCCAATCAGCATCTATACAACCTTTCACTCTGAGGTGATCATGTTTGAAAAAGTAAAGACCCTTTTCAAGAGAAGATTTCAAGTATCTCAAAATTCTCATAATAGCCTCCAAGTGAATTTGATGAGAAGCATGCATAAATTGACTAACCATACTACCAGCAATAGCAATATCAGGACGACAGTGAGATAAATAAATGAGCTTACCCACGAGTCGTTGATAACTCCCCTTATCAATAGTTGTTCCTCCTTCATCATCACTAAGTTTCTGATTAGATTCCAATTGGGTATCACAGGCCTTACATCCAAGCATCTTTGTTTCCTTCAAAAGGTCCAGAACATACTTCCTTTGTGAGATAAAAAACCCATCCTTGGAGCGAGCAACTTTGATTCCCAGAAAATATTTCGGCCTTGTTTGGTTTGTTTAAGAGAGTAATTTTGGAGAAAAATTTTCAAAATTTTGTTTGGCTTAGTAATTTTGGAAAAAAAATTTCAAAATCACTTTCCCTCTCCTACACATCAATCAATTACTTTTTCTCTTTCCTCTCTCCTTCTCAATCATTTTTTCTCTCACATACATCTACTCAACTACAACAAAATATCAAATCATCCCAAACTCCCATACTCCAAAACTATTTTCAAAATATACAACCAAACAAACCAAAAAAAATTTCTAAAATCTCTTTCCAAATTTTTTTTTCAAAATTTATCTCCCAAAACCAAACCAAACACACCCTTCAAGTTCCCCAAGTCTTTGATTTCAAACTCACTAGCTAAATATTTCTTCAACATGAGTATTTCCTCACTATCATCGCCTGTAAGCACTATGTCATCCATATAAACAATGAGAGTTGTAGTCTTACCGCGTAAGGAATGTTTCAAAAACAAAGTGTGATCTGCCTGACTCTGTTTGAAACCATATTTAAACATAGCCTGAGTGAATCTCTCAAACTAAGTTCTTGGAAATTGTTTGAATCCATATAACGACTTCTGAAACCTGCATACTTTACCCATTATCTGATGATCCTCAAAACTAGAAGGAATGTCCATGTATACCTCTTATTCTAGATCACCATGTAAGAAAGCATTCTTTACATCAAACTAATGAAGTGGTCAATCTAAATTAGCTACTAAAGAGAGAAGTATTCTAACTAAATTCATCTTAGCCACTGGTGCAAAATTCTCCTGATAATCTACTCTATAAGTCTGAGTGAAGCCTTTTGCCACAAGTCGAGCCTTGTAATGTTTAATGGAACCATCTGCTTTGTGCTTCACAGTATACACCCATTTACATTCCACCGATCGTTTACCCTTAGGTAACTCAGCTAATTCCCAAGTGTCATTCTTACGAAGTGCTTTCATTTCCTCAATCATGGCAAGTTTCCATTTAGAGGTAGCGAGAGCGAGAGCTTCTTGCAAATGGTTAAGAATACTAACAGAGGAAACATTTGACACAGACTCTATAAGAGGAAGACAAATGAGAGTAGGACACAAAGTTTGAGATAGAATGTTAAAACAATATCTCACACCCTTTCTCTTAGCAATAGGAATATCAAGATCAGTAGTGTCAAGAATAGCGATATCAGTAGACTTAAGAGCAACAAGAGGTTCAAAGTTACCTGAACTCTTATCAGAAATAGAAGATGGCAGTAGGTGAGCAGAAGTGGTCTCTTGTATCCAAGTAACTTTCTATCTGTCTTTATCCCTGAAGGGATGACTGTGACACCGAAGAAAACAAGAAGTAAGACTGGGACTCAAAGAAGGTGATATCTATGGACACAAACTACTTACAAGAAGGAGGGTGATAACACTTATACCCTTTTTGAGTAGGCGAGTATCCGAGGAAAAAACACTTGAGAGAGCGAGGGTCCAACTTACCATGAGTAGGAGAATGATTGTGGACAAAACAGACACAACCAAATATTTTAGGGAGAATGGAAAACAAAGACTCTGAACAAAGATGGACTTAACGTGGAGCTTGTTTTTGCAAAACCTGGCTGGAAAGACGATTAATGAGATAGGCTACGGTGAGAACGGTCTCGCCCCAGTAGGACTGAGGCACACTCATAAACAAACACATGCAGCAAGTCATATTAAGAAGATAACGATTCTTGCATTCTACAACCCCATTTTGTTGAGGGGTATTGGTGCAAGATGTCTGATGTACAATGCCATGAGTGGTAAGATAGCTCTTTAACTCCGAATCAATGTATTCACCCCCATTATCAGAACGTAAGATTTGACAATTGCCCCAAACTGAGTACAAATCATTTTATAAAAATTTTGAAACATAAAGAAAACCTCATTTTTTTCTTTCATGAGATACACCCAAGTAGTATGAGAAAAATTATCGATAAAGGTAACAAACCATTTATGGCCTTTTAAAGACATAACACGAGATGGACCTCACACATCAGAATGTATTAAAGAAAAATAAACTAAACTTTTATTAAAACTTGGAGCAAAAAAAGCTCAGTGTTGTTTGCCAAGTTGACAAGACTCACAAAAAAAACTCAGACACATTATTGTTTATAAAAACAGACAGAAATAAATGCCTAAGTAAATGAAAAGAAAGCTACCTAAGACGCCGATGACACAGTCATAAATCCTCCTTAGAGGTTGGGAACTGGATGGAATGATAAGCAAGCTTGTTCGGCTAATCCAAGAAATAAAGACTATTTTTTGCACTACCACTGCTAATCGTCCTCCTCGTGACATGGTCCTGAAAAAGATAATGATGAGGAAAAAATGTCACACTACAGTTCAAATCCTTAGTAATAAAACTCAAGGATAGAAGATTAACAGAAAAATTGGGAATGTGGAGCACTGAACACAGAGGTAAGATAGGAGTAACATGAATTAAACTATTCCCAGAGATAGAAAAAACAGTACCATCTGCAATCCTAACTTTGTCTTGACCTGAAGAAGGCTTATATGCTGAGAAAATGTCAGAAGACACAAACATATGATCTGATGCACCAGAATCAATAATCCATGGTAAAGACTTATGGGAAAGAAAAGCACTGGGAGAAGAGGCTAAGTTACCTAAACGGGCAAATGACGAGAAAGATGCACTGGAAGCAGTAGAAGACCGGCGGGCCAGCAAATGACGCAAAACATCCTCAAGCTCAGGAGAAGTCATACTAGATAAACTATCAAAAGTCAGACCAACTGAAGCGGAAGTAGAATCAAGGGTGTCAACAGCACTAGACTGATGGGCCCGTGGATTAGAACCACGTCCTCTAGACTGGCCAGATAGACCGCCTCTAGTACCAGACCGATCACCCCAACGCCCTGATGGAGCCCCATGAAGCTTCTAACATGTCTCACGAATGTGTTGAGGCTTGCGACAGTAATCACAGATAATAATATCCTTTCCTGAAGGATGGGAAAGAGGTAGTGACAAACCAGTCCCATCTCAAGAAGGAGTAGAAAGTAATGTTGAACGGTCTCTAGAAGCCGATGGTAACATAGCAGAATGACGACTCTCCTTATTTTGTACATATGCAAAGGCCTCTTGAAGAGATAGAAGAATATCCATGCCAAGGACACAACTCCGAACCAGATTAAACTCCACACTGAGACCTTCAAGAAACTTGAAGACCCTCTCCTGTGCAAGAAACTTCTGGTAACCAACTGAGGCCTCGTTTGGGAACAGGCTAATTTAGTAACTTTTTGGCTATTTGGCTAAAATATGAGCTAAAAAAAGCTAGTATGTTTGAGATGACTTTTTGGCTTTTTACGAAAAGATGTGCAAAAAGTAGAGAGAAAAGAGAATCTTTGACTTTTTAGTATGGGTTATTGGCTTTTTGGCTAATTTAGTAACTTTTTAACTTTTTGGCTAAAAGGGAAGGTTCCCAAACGAGGCCTGAGTCAACTGTACAGACAGGCTTGTAATCCAGGAGATGATCTAGGCGTTTCCAACCATTAGTCAAAAAGGTGTAATACTGAAAAACTGTCTGCTCCCCTTGTACTGAGCGCTCAATAGACCGGCGCAGTTAAAAGACTGAGAAAAATTTCATTTTCGAGAATATGTAACAGTGACTGCTTCCCAAATATCCTGGGTAGTATCCATGGATAAGTAGCCTTTATCAATCTTAGGAACCATGGAATGAATGAGTCACCACATGATTAAAGAGTTGGTAATCTCTCATTAGTCATAGCCAAGATTCGTAATACCTGGTGCTTGAACTCTTCCATTAACATATTTCATCTTCCTCTTACTCTTCAGAAAAAGTGTCAAGACACTGAGACCAGGAAAGATAATTCTGACCATTAAACAGAGCAGTGGTGATTTTGAGGCTAGGGTTCAGGTTCTCTAATGTAATAGTCATAACTAGACTGGAGCTCTCCCCTTTATATAGGTGAGAAATAATGGTAGATTCACTAGTTAGGTCAGCTATAAGAACTCTACAATTTTAACCTAAAAAACCTTGCACGAATCACAATAATGGAAAGAGAAATGGAATGGGCTGGAATAAGCAGAATCACATACAGACCACTATGGGAGCATAACAATCAGATTAATGAGTCATCTATGGACCCAAAAAAAATAAATCAAATACGAGAAAACAAACCTCCAATCAAAACTAGTGTTGAACTGTGTTTAAGAAAGTAGAGGGAAAGAAACTTAGGGCAACAAAAGATGGGCAGCCCTCAAACACTCATCCACAGGAGCCGAAATACACAAAGAGAGGCTAGGACAGCCCTCACAAGGGTCAACTAGGCCAGAGTGGCCTTCGGTTGAAGCTGAAACAGCTCTGTGGAACCTTGGTTCCGATAAAGACTCAAGGGCCAACGGTGGAGGATAGGTGGTGATAGGTGATGGCTGGTTGGTGGCAGCGGCTGTATGGGTGATGGTTCTTAGGGTTTTTGCTCTAATACCATGTAATTTAAGAGAATACAAAGCTTGGATGATGGTGATGATTATGATATCATCACCTTTTATATTAATCAATCAACTGTTACAAAAGGAATCCCTAAGGCACTGATTAAGGAGTCACCTTTTATATTGATTGAATGATTGAATGATTAAGGAATCATAATCAATCAATCAATCAATCAATCAATCAATCAATTAATCAATTACAATCTAATCTAAATAAGGAAATAAGGAAATATTCTAGCATAATTATTACTTTAGCGACACATGACTGTGGCATACACCTAAGGAAAACCTTACTTTATTTTCAAAACTTCAAAATTTTGCAACGAGAGTTGCTTTAGAATAGCCATAAACTCAGGCAACCCAACCAGAGAACTTCATCAAGGTTTTCCTTGTTTGGCAACTCACTGTTTTAGCTTAAAAGTCAAAAAGTCACTAAAAAAACTACAAAGTCAACAACCTATACAAAAAAGTCAGAGATTCCCTTTTCTTTTTACATTTTGCACATCTTTTCGTAAAAAAACAAAAGTCATTCCAAACATACTAATTTTTTTACCTCATATTTTAACCAAAAAACTTACTAAAATAACATGTTCCCAAACGAGGCCCAAGCTATGGTAACGTATGAAGCACGGACACGGACATGGACACGGACACGCATACGGACACGGACACGGCAATTTTAAAAAAATAGGGACACGGACACAGCTGGGGACACGGCAAAATTTTTTTTATATAAATATTTTTATTTTAATACAAGTTAATTATTTTATATAATTATTATATTTTTAAATAAATATGATTCTATTAATTTTTTATTTTATTTTATTTTATCAGATATATTATACATGAATCAGATATATATATATATATATATTATATACCTAATAGATATATTATACATGAATCAGATATATATATATATATATATTATATACCTAATAGATATATTATACATGAATCAGATATATATATATATATATATTATATACCTAATAGATATATTATACATGAATCAGATATATATATATATATATATTATATACCTAATAGATATATTATACATGAGTCAGATATATATATATTATATACCTATAATAGATATATTAGTACATGAATCGAATCAGATCAGAGGAGAGAGAGGGCGATCGACGCGATCAATGCGAGAGCGAGAGCGAGAGCGAGAGACGCGAGCGAGAAGGAAGGCGAGAGAGAGGGACGAGAGAGAGAGAGAGAGACTTACTGATGGAGATCGACAGGCGAGTCAAGGTCGAGGTCATGGATGGAGGTCGATCGCGATCGTCTGGGGTGTTCGATCGACTGATGGAGCTTGGAGCTTCGATCTTCGACTGGATTCATGGAGCTTCGATCTTCGACAGGTTTGTCTCTCTTCACTCTCTTCCTTCACACTCTCTCCTTTGTCTTTTCCTACTTGCCGTGTCTCACGTCGTGTCCAGATCTGGACACGCGTGTCCCCTACAAGAAAAACAATTAAATTAAAGGGACACGGCAGATGGCGTGTCCCGTACGTGTCCCCAGGGTGTCCCCGTGTCCCCGGCGTGTCCCCGTGTCCGACACCGCCACGGCGCTGATTTTGTCGTGTCTATGCTTCATAGATAGTAACCACTATAAATTTTCCCTCAATGGTACAAACTTCATCTGCAGCAATTCAGGCTACTTCAAAGGTTTTGACAGTAAGCAGATTAGTTCAAAGATCGAAAGTTTCATTAAAATTAAAATAAAAACAATAAAAAAAATAATAATAATGAATAAAAGCAAAAGAAATTGCAAGCCAGCTAACAACCAAAAATTAGAGGGCCGCGTTAGCCTTCATATGCTGTAGAAATCACACTGTCATTCCTAAGCAAGATTTGGGATGTCATTAACAGAGATTTGGGATGAAGGTCTTGGTTGAATTTTTTAAAGGGGAATTTTTGGCTTCTTTTTGAGCTTCAGCATTGTTTTAATTGAAGGGGATCCATTATTTGTGATCTATAACTCTTTTGTTTACTTTTTCTTTCTTTTTTTCTTTCTTTCTTTCTTTCTTTCTTTCTTTATTTATTTATTTTGGGTGCTTGTCCTCCTTATTTTGTATTTTTCTCCTTTTTCCTGATGTTAATAAAATTTCCTTCTTTGTTACTGATTAAAAAAGTAAATTTTATTTATTTATCTAATTCCAACTTAAAAAAATAAAAATTGGGAAAAAAAGAAAGAAAGAACAACCAAACAAGAATCAGATGACTTTGTAGCAATTCACATAAACTAGACTATGGCATTCCAAGAATAGTTTTTTGTTAAATCAACTAATGCAGCTAAACTTACAGGAAGTGTCTCCCATATTGCTTCACCACTCATGCTTTCATCATCTCCAGGCAATAGAGCCTTACACATTCTGTACAAGGAAGCACCTTAGTAATAGGAATGATCCATCATTAATTTACAAGATAGACAGTAACATGATTTCAACAATTTGAGAATAAAACATTAGTACATCCATTGGTTTAGCTAAATCAATTAATTAATAGTGCTAGTAATAATAGCAGCAACAGAATCTGCTATAGTAGATTTCAGGTAATATTACTTTTGAAATTCTAAGCACCTAAGAAATTGTTCCTAGAGGAATAGGCCAATTTTCAGCAAATTAATAGAAATTTTGAATAATGCCAAGTGATTAATTGATTATTCAATCAACTAACAAATCAATTAATCAATTTAGCAATTGAACAATCTAATCTATCAATTTCATCAAATAAAGGACAATCAACCGGGAGACAACATATTTAGTGTGGAAACTCTACGCAAACCCCATTCTATAGGGAGAACACCACAATCCAACACCCAAAATCAATCTACTATAAGGTAACAAGAATAATGGTTATGAATTAATGCTAGAGAAAACACCTGAAATTGTCCACTAGGATGGTTATTTCAAATGCCAGCAACGGAAGGAAGACAATCTTCAAGTTTACAGCTGCAAAACCATTGACTGTACAAAATAACATATTTACTATTCAAAAAAGAGAGTTCTTATAAGAGGAATTCATGTTTTAGTCACAAACAGGCATAAAGCTTACAAATAAAAATTAACTAGCATATTTGTCCTATGGTACGAAGTTCCCATGAATGAATAAAGACAAGAACCTGAACTTTCTTTTTATTTTTTTTACTTCTAAATGCTTCCAAAAAAAATTATTAGGACAAGGTGAAAAAGAAGTTGAACTCTGGAGTCTGGACCAACTTGCCAGAGTTAGGCACCCAGGTATCACTCATATGCGATGATGGAAAACAAAATAATTAGCTCGTACAAAATAAAAGCACTATATTGTAATGCATCAAAGATTCAACACACCAAAACAATATTGAATAACAGTGACAGGGTGTTGATTCCCTACCATAGATGCTCTCAAGATATATACAGAGGAGCAGTTCAAATGCAATAAGCAATGGCGTTGCAATGATGGTATGACATGGTGCCCACTGTGCAAAAAAAAAAAAAAAAATGAAACCTTCATGATGCACATTCAAATATAAGCTGAGAAATTCTAACATCCAAAAAACTAAATACGTATTTGTTAAGAATATCTCGAGAAAAGATATTGAGAGGCATGATGCATTACATTACGACCATGGGGAACAGATGGCGCAGGTAAAGAGAACCTTCCTCGGGCAACAACTGCATGAAAAAGCCAAAGTGGGAAGAAAATGACCCTGCAAACCAAATTCAACACATTGTTATTAAGAAACTAAAACCACATTGTGATATTAGAATAATTATATGTTCAAGCAAACAAGAAAAATCTTTTAACAAATTTTACACAATTCATCAATGTTGCAACATTCAGGATACTCAAAGGTGTCAGCAAGCTTTCACACTCCTTGTAAGAAAATTGGAAGGTTGGTGATTGTGTCCGTTTGAAATTGGAAGGTTGGTGATTGGGTTGATTAAATTTTGATTGGTTGGTTGGTTGAATCTGTTGATTAAAACCTATTGATTGGTTGAATCTTCAACTCTCTTTCTCTATGGGTAATAGCAGTGGGGAGGGGCTAGGGTGGAAGAAGTGGTAGTGGTGATGGCGTGCAGAAGGTGTTGGGGCTGAGGTGCTGGTGATGACAATGGATTGATAACAATACCCCTTATTCATTAGTTTTAATTGGTTCAAATTGTATTCCATCTAAAAATTCAGGATTTAATACGAACAAATTAGAAACTCCTTCGGATTATAAGGGTTATTTTTTATAATTTATCCTAAAAATTCTATTACAATATTAAAAAAAACATTTAAGTTGCTGCTTTAAGTCTCAAAATGTCTTGTATCGGCCCTGCAATTAACCACAATCATTTTATTTGCCACCAAGCATACAATAAAACCCACAAGCAAAGAAATTTGTGGGAAACCAATTCACCCATTTCACACACACATATGCAGAGACATGTACCTATGCATACAATACAAGCAATTCTATGGAAAACACATAATTTGTCACCCCAATTCAATTTCCCCAAGGATAATTCAAACAAAACCCATTAATTTCAAAAGTTCCCATCGTTGTTACAGCGAAAAAAAATTCAACCCACAACGAATAAGATAAAATTATAAAAACCCACCAGTAATTTATCAAAGCAAAATAAACCCACATAAATATAGACATAGACATATAGATACTGACCACCAAGAGTAGGAGAGGAGGTGATCGAGCTTGAGAACGAGGAAGAGAGTGAAACAGAAGAGGAAGGTGTGAGCAGCGAGGGCCTGTACGGACTTGGCGACTCTTCGCCAGCACATTGCTATCCTCCGAAGCATCAACGAAAGGGTTTAACACACTGAAAATAAAATCAAATCAAATAAAAACGCAAGCAATCGTGTAGTGTATTAGTGCAAATAGTAAGAGTCGATCTGAGAATCAAATACCGGAGGTAGATTTTAGGGTGCGAACGAAGAAGAAGAAGTTAGTGGGGAAGCCATTAAAGATGTGTCTGTGTATCAATTACGCAAAACAAGAAAAATATTCAATTAAACCCTCCTTCCCCTCTCTCTCTCTCTCTCTCATAGTCGCTTTCAGATTACGCCACCATGGCGCTTTTTAATTCTGCTTTTTATTCCTCGGGCAGTGATTGAGGGCCCGAAATGGGGAGCCCGAATGTCCCGAAATTCCATTTCAGGTATAAAATAAAAAATAAAAAAAAGGTAAAAAGAAAGAAAAAAAAGAAAACAGTTTCTAAAATTAAAAATTAGGGATATTATGGACAACTTTTTTAGGGCTACAAATCATTTTCCTTATTCCTCCATTATATGTTTGGATCACTTCTCGGGCCCGGTCCACACTATTCTCTAGTGGTTTAAGATGTTGTAAATAGGTGTATTTTAAAAAATTATATAAAATATGAGTTTGTTTTAAAATGATATGGTAGAAAAGTAATGTGATTTAAATAAGATAATATAACTTAAATAAGATAGTTACTTTTTAATTTTTTGACTTTTTTAATATATGTCAAACAAAACCTTAATAAAACAAACTTGTGTTTGTTTAAGTTCAGTTGACTTTGGTTTTTTATTTTTGTCCAAATACGATTTAAAAAATAATTATAAATTTCAAGTTTATCTATCGAGCTATATTTAAAAAAATAAGGAGATTTATTGAAAAACCTTTTTTCAAGTATTTGTATTATAATTAATTCATAAGATATTCTTTTATTTTAATAAATCCTATTATTTGAATATTTGATCTACAAAATCTTAATTCTCATATTTAAAGTATTTTATAGACAATTTTACAATTGTAAATATATTTTGAATGGTTAGTAAATTGGTAGTGTGAATATTCATATTTTACAATCTAAATATTCACATTGGCGTGTAAATGTTCACATTGACATGTTAATGTTCACATTGACAGTGTGAATATTCACATCACGGAACATTGACATTGTAAATATGAATATTATTAGGGATATTTTAGTAATTATGTCATTCATAGGATTTATTGGAATATAAGAAAATAATGTGAACTAAATAAATATAAATAAGTGAAAACAGATTTATGAAAAAATGCCCCTAAAAAATATATATATTCTATAATTAAATTTAATTACACATCATATTTCTTAAATAAATATACAAACATCATTATAAATGGAAATATTTTGTATATAAATTGAAGGACTTCTTAAATAAATTCAACTAAATATCACTACAAATGTAAATTTCAATATAATTAATAAACATAAAGTTTAGATCTTAATAAAAATATATATATTTAATATATTATAATTAATTAATTAATTCAAAAGCAGATCGGATCAGCCTGAGTTGAAAGTATAAATCTCAAACTCAGTCTATTAATATATCAGGTTGAAAATATTAGCCTAATCCAGCCCTATGACTTAAAACAACATTTTCAAATCCTAAAAAAAATAAGGCCGAACTAGGTGGCTAACGAGGTAATGCCCGACGTAAATTAAATAAGAAATTTACTTTGAAAAATAAAAAATTTGGAATTCTTTCAAGTTTCACTTGATCGTTATGTTCGGAATTGTAATTTATTTGAATGATTTGAATCGTTCATTTTGTAAGATTCTTCATATATATTGATTTAATAATCGTAATTTTTTTAATTTGATCACTTTTGTTCTAAAAAAAATAGATTATCTATTTAAAAAGTACAGTTGTTATTTATTTTTTAAAAACACACGCGATAAAATGAAAAATTATTTCATTAAAAAAATTTCATAAATGATTTACATGAAATTTTTTACAAATGAATAATTTGAATATTCTAAATATAACTTATAATTCACAAGATCGAACATGTCAATTAAGTTCAGATTTAAATTTTTTAAATTTAAAAAAAAAAACAGTTAGTGTGTTTGGTTTGAATTTTTTAGATTAAGTTTTTTAAAACTTAAATTTTTTGGTTTTGGTATTTTTTTATTTTTAGTGAATATTTTTAAAATTTTAAACATTTTTTTTACTTTTTTAGATGCACCTTATTTAGATGTATCTAAAGATCAAAAAAATTGTGAAAAAATATTTTAAAAAATTAATAAATACATAAAAATACAAAAAAAATATACTGAATTTTGAAAAGATTCTCGTATATATATATTTTTTTTATATTTTTGGTATTTAGTGAATTTTGAAAAGATTTTTTTCACAAAATTTTTACTTTTTAAGCATATTTACGTTAGGCATGTCTAAAAAGTTAAAAAAAAAATTACTTAAAATATTAAAAAAATTCATTAAAAAACACACACACACATGAAAAATAAAAAAATAAAATTTTCTAAAAAATATTTTTGAAAAAAGAGAACCAAGCAAAGTAACGTAACAAAAAAAGAAAAGGATTTTAGATAATTATATATTTGTGGACAATTTTTTCTTAATTACGTTAAAGATAATATTTTATTTTTTTGTTCAAACAATAAAAAAATTTGTTGATAACCATACCTAACTTCTTCGAACGGATTTCTTTAGACCCCACCAATTAATTTCAAATTTTAGTTCACATGTCTTTCCCTTTCTCTTCTTATCACACAGTTAAGCTATCCAACTTATAAATCATCGTTCATATTTGTCCATCGACACTTCTACACTTACCAAATGGATGTGTCACGTTTTAGACGAATGCGGGACAATGAGTGAAAATTTTAAAATTTATTTTTTTTGATTCACACAGATGTTTATAGATTAATTTTTTTTAATCCGCCTTTTAGATGGAATAAAGATTGGAGTCCCATTTTTCCCACCTCTTTGACCCCTTTCTTTTTTGATTGGTCACTTTTTTTTTTTTTCTTCTCTTCTAATCACCACCCGCCACGTGTGTGTGGGGTGGTGGGGGTTGAAATTTGAGGGGGTCTAAATCACTGTTATTTTAGATGAAAAGCGGATTTGAGTCTTATTTTGTTGCAACTGAACCGTCAAACTACGAACACTCCTAGTAATTTGTAAGATTTTATGTTTTCAATTTGTTTAGATATTCTGTTTGTGTTTTCAATCAAAAAAAAGTTTAGATATTCCGTTATGTTTTCAATTTGTTTTTAATTTAAAAATATTTTTATCAAGGGTAAATTACAAATACACCATCTGAGATTTAATTAAAATACGAATCGCTCTCTGTGATTTTAAAAATTACATTTCATCCCTTGAGATTTCTAATTTCATAACAAATCACCATTTTATTAATAAATCATCAAGTCAATTAACAGTTTTAAATGATGTTAAAAATATATTTTCATTAATAATTTAGGTAACTTTATTATAATATAGGAGAGCGATTATAAATTTCATTTTTTAGTTAATTCTGTTAAATAAAAAATTCTAATAAGGGGATATTTGTACTTTTTCAAACCACATGGGCCAATCTGTATTTTAAGCAAACTCAATAAGTATATTTGTAATTTACCCTTTTATCAAATAGCAAGTGTTGATATTTAGTATTTTTTTTTTATGGAAAATGGAATGCTTAAAATTGCCATTAAAAAAACAAAAAAAAAAATCAACTTAAATAGTTTTTGAATTAAAAATAATAATTAATGAAATAGTTTTGATACTGCATGATTTTCTTATATATATTTATTATTGGTATTTGACAATTTACTTGATAATCTTTTGGTTATGTTGAGTTAGATTTTATCCACACAAAAAAAAAAATTGGCAAGTTGTTATATTATGTTCAAAATTTGTAGAAGTTTAAACTGCCAAACCGATTTACATCCATCCGTCAATCCATTCAATTCGCATCTATCAATCTGGTTGACATATACGGATTGATTTTTTTCAATCCACCAATCCGACAGACAAATAATGAATTGAAAATTCACCGATTATAACCGACCTGCGAGCAACCCTACCCCTACCCCACAACCACCATTATAATAACACCACCACCTCACTTCTCGTGCCATCACTACCGCTACTCCTGCACCCACTACCACCCATTATCAGCATAATCCATCATTGCACAATTCACCCTACAATATCTGATATCCCCTCCTTTGTCCCTCTTTTGCAACTTACTTTCTCTTTATATATATATATATGATACTAATGGTAATCCGTGTTATGCACAGTATGTAAAAAAATTAATAATATATTTTTATACAAAATAATATAAATAGTTATATTTTTGTATGTAAATTATGAAAACAAAAAAGACTAAAATTTACAATTTAAGTCTCACAATTTTATCACAATTCATTTATTATTTTTTAATTTGTCACAAATTTAATTATGTAACTTTCAACCTTCTTGCTAGAGTTGTAAACTTAGGCGAGTTCAACTCAAGTAACTCGAGTCAAGCTTAGGATTTTTTAAAGATTGGGCAATATAATTTATAATTCGGTGAGAACCAGCCTCCCCAAAGAAAAGTTGATTGGATTTTAGCAATCTCTTTTGCTACTCCTGTAGGCATCTTAAACAGAGAAAGATAATATATTGGCAAACTAAACAGCACAGCTTTTATGAGTGTTAATCTACCTGCAAATGAGAGAAACCTTCTTTTCCATGAGGTAAGCTTTAATTTAAACTTTTCAATCACAGGCTGCCAAGTCAACTTTCTACTAGGGTTAGCTCCCAAAGGCATTCCCAAGTACTTCAGAGGTAGTTTTTGATAAATGCAGTGTAATTTGGAGGCAAAATCTTGACATAGAGTTGACGATATACCCACCCCACATACCACACTTTTATGGTAATTGATTTGCAGGCCCGACATAATTTCAAAGCATCTCAATATTCTTTTAATATTTAATATCTCCTCACATTTCAGCTTCACAGAACAATATAGTATCATCAGCAAATTGCAAGTGCGTGATCCTAAGATCAGAACCCACAACCGCACCCTTGATCAAACCCAGCTGCTTTGCCCTTTCCAACAATATATTAAGACCTTCTGCCACAACATTAAATAGAAAATGTGATAATGGGTCCCCTTGTCTCAACCCTTTCTGAGGTTTAAATTCAGAAGTTGGAGAACCATTCACCAAAATAGAAATACTAGCTGAAGTTACACATTCTTTTATCCAACTCACCCATTTAGCCCCAAACCCAAAGTTTGATAA